TGACTTTCAGAAACAGCAGATAATGACTCAGTTGGTGAAGTCAGAGCATGTAAGACATGCAGAAATGCTGTATTCAGGTATATCAAAAGGTGTGATAGATAGATAGTAAATTTATGATATTGTGCTTTTTTGTAATCATTAATTATTTATCATATTTGTTAATAGGAGAAAGGAATATAATGAAGAAATATCAAAGACTCCACCAGTCGTCATGTTGTATCAGGTTAATTTTGAATGAATAATTAATGTTAATTTTAAATTATATCTAATAATCTAATCAAATAAAAATAGAAATTAATGAAAATCAAGACCGCAATTGATGCTACATTACCAAAGTTCCAGGACATGCTTATCATGTTAAAGTTACAATATCACTTTTTTTATATTCTCGTTTTATATACATTTTTCTTTTATTAATTAATACTAATTAAATTCCATTTTTTATACAGGAGTCAAGAAATAATTAATCAAACACATGCAGATTATCAGCTCGCAGCACGAACGCGTAAAGAACTTTTGGAAAATTTCGCGCAATTTGATGCGATTAGTAAAAAAGTTAATTCATTACTTGCGCATTCTAAAACTGAAAAACGATTACAAGCCAATATTCATTTAGCAGCTAATCAATATCTTCAACAAAATATGTTACCCCTTCAAGTTTTACCAAAACTTCTTAAGAAAGATCATCATGATAATGAACCTTATTATGAAGATTACCATGAATCTTCACCAGATATGCTTCTTTCAGTAATCGAAAATGGTAGAACTCGAACTATTTCTACATCTTCTACTAAGTCTTTAAAAGGTGAAGAAAAGATTAGACAACAATTATCAGTACTTTTGGAACAAGAAAAATTGGTTCAAGGTTATATCGTAGAAGCGACCAAACAACGTAAATTTGATGACGTAAAAACTTTAAAGACTGCATTAGATGAATTAAAAGTTGAAATCAACAAGACAAGAAAAGAACTTGGCGATTTATGGCCATAAAAAATTTTTTGAATCATTTCATATGCAATAAGTTCTAATGGGCACTGCGTTAATTATTTTACTTTATATTTTGATAATATACTTGAAATCTTTTTTTTCAATTATTATTACTATATAATTAATCTATTATTATTTTCTTTTTCTTTTTTTTATATAATATTCATGAGATTTTGTCAAAATCATATATGAAAGAAAAACTTTTTATAAGCAAAAATTTCAACTTTTCCATATGTTCTAATTCTTGAGGCAACACAAAAATATTTAAAACTCTTTGAACTATTATGAAAAAAAAAAAAAAAAAACAATTCTAAGATTTTACATATTAAATATTACATAATAATATAATTCTTCCTTTTTTTTTTACTACACAGTATTTTCTGTATTTTCTCTTTTTTTTTTCTCTTTTTTTTTTAAAGAATGTCGTATAGTTTACTCTTTATAGTTATTTCTTATGAATTATATATGCAATGTATAAGCTTTTTATTTTTAGTCATGTATATATATAGTTATGAAAATTATGACTTTAAACACTTTTCACACTTCACAGAAATGTAAAATAATAAGAGTATATATATGTACACACATCACTTATCTTATATAATAAATTTTAATAGTGATTTGGAGAATATTTATGTAAATGCTTTATGTCAGGGTGAAACCTGCGCCAAATTCTAGTAGAACCCACTTTGATCATAGGGTTACTGCGTTAGCATAGTGTTTCATAATGTTTTTTATATGTTAACGCAATTTCACCTTCATGTGATCTGCATAGCTTTCACCCTGTCGAAATTTATTAAAAATGTACAAATAGTATCAGATATCAGATATTAATAGATATTGATAAGAGTATTATAACGTAAATACGATCCTAACACATTCTAAAATTTAATAAAATATACTTTCTTTTAATGAGGTTGCGTATAATAATAAGTATATATATATTTAACTAAGACAATATTATCAATTTCTATGATATTAACAACATCATGATTATCTAGTAATTTAGTAACAATTATGGTCATTACAATGAAATTAGCCTTACCTTTTGCAGTATCAAAGACAATGATTTTTAATGAAAAGTATGACAACCTGTTTACATCCAAGTAATGTAAAGAGCGGTCCCTGTTGATAGAGTCGTCCTACAGTTTACAACTTTTATTCATCTAAAAATAGCTTAGACTTGTGCGTGGCAGAGTAAATCATAACGAGAGGCTTATTTATGTGTACAATTACAATGATAAATCGTACAACCTGTCAAAATATAAATTTTCTATTGGTTTAAAAAAAAAAATTTCCTCCATATAAAAGTCCGAGACTGGAATCATAAGTGTAAAAAAAAAAAGGAAATTTTGCTCTTGATATAAATTTTTTACTAATCAT